GCAAGTCTTGAGTTGAAAGTGGTTGTTAAACATGGCCGACTCTTTACAAGTAATCACCAAGGCCACATCTGCAACATACAGTTAAAGTACACTTAGACCACGTTAAACAGTCCTGGCTTCCCCCAATGAATCCTGGGAATTGTAGTTTGCTAAGGATTCTGAGTGTTGTTAGGAGGTGGTCAAAGGAGGGTGAAATTCATGTTCAAGAGCCGTTGCATATTGTATAAAAATAAACCAAGTTTCATTTAAAAAAAAACCCACACCACACTCCTCAGATGCATGTCGAGTTCTTCGTTTCTAAATTGTCATGCTACTTTCTCCATGAGGGCAGATTGCCAAACCTTTTCGCTCAAGTTTTTTGTCAAGTTCATATCCAGGGATCTCCATCTTTCAGCAATAGTCAATTTTTGCAGTAGTCTGCAGAAATGAAATACAGTGGTACCTCTGGTTAAGTACTTAATTCATTCTGGAGGTTCGTTCTTAACCTGAAACTGTTCTTAACCTGAGGACCACTTTAGCTAATGGGGCCTCCTGCTGCCGCCACGCAATTTCTGTTCTCATCCTGAGGTAAAGTTCTTAACCCCAGGTACTACTTCTGGATTAGTGGAGTCTGTAACCCAAAGTGTTTATAACCTGAGGTGTTTGTAACCCAAGGTACCACTATACGCTTTATTTCTGATGGACAAACACTTGTATTATTCTTTTATTAGGGAAACTTTTAATGTTTGATGTATTATGGCATTTTGATATTTTTTGGGGAAGCTGCCCAGAGTGGCTGGGGAAGCCCAGCCAGAAGGGTGGGGTATAAATAATAAATTATTATTATTATTATTATTATTATTATTATTATTATTATTCTGCGCTGTGGATTTTACTTCTTCTGTGGTTTAGTATTTTGTAAGTCTCTTTGAGACGTTAGGCAAAACGCGATGTTCAGATATAATGAATAAAATAATGAGATGCAGCTTTCATTGCATCTCTGCTCAGTCACCATTTGCCTTGTTTCCCAAAGAGCAAAGGAGATGAAGGACTTGAGGAAATGCTTTTCTAAACTGCAGGTTGATTTATTCATCTTTCCAGAAGATGGCGCTGTGCCTGAATGGAAAGCCAAAAAAACAGAGATGAGCAGCAAAACAAAAACAAAACTTCTCTTGGAAAGAAGGGGTTCGTTTTATTTATTGGGTTCAATGGCTGGCTGGAGCTTCAACTTTTTGCTGCATGTTTTGCTAGTGATTGTTCATTCCTTCAAAATACCAAGCAGAATGGAAGTAATGCCTATTTTTGAAATATAGAAAGCAATAAATTCTTCTGTGAAACCCATTCACATACCCCTACGGGTACGCATATCACAGTTTCAGCCCAGACACTGAGGGTCCATCTCCGAGGGCCTTCTGGCGGTTCCCTCACTGCGAGAAGTGAAGTTACAGGGAACCAGGCAGAGGGCCTTCTCGGTGGTGGCGCCCTCCCTGTGGAATGCCCTTCCATCAGATGTCAAGGAAATAAACAACTATCTGGCTGGGGAAACTCAGGGGTATAAATAATAAATTATTATTATTATTATTATTATTATTATTATTATTATTGACTTTTAGAAGAAATCTGAAGGCAGCCAAGTTTAGGGAAGTTTTAATGTTTGATGTTTTATCATATTTTTAATATTCTGTTGGGAGCCACCCAGAGGGCTGGGGAGACCCAGCCAGATGGGCGGGGTATAAATAATAAATTATTATTATTATTATTACTTTGGGAACACTAGCATAAACAAAGCACCAAAATGGGCTGAGGACATAACCAGAGCCGCTCCTGTTAGTTATACAGAGGTAATCAGATAAGATCCATCATTCTAGTTATGTCCAGAGGTTTGGAACCTGATCCATCTGTTTGCAGTCCTGGGCTCCTTTGGGAGGAAAGTGGATTAAATAAAATAAATAAATACCTGTATTTTCACAGAATCATCACGCTGAGGATCATCTAGCCCAAAGTCCTGCAATGTGGGAATATGTAGCTGTCCCATACGGGGCTTGAACCTGCAACCTTGGCATTATCGGCACCACACTCTAGCCAACTGAGTTATCCAGGCTGTGCTACCACACTGAGGCATTTGTACATAGCACCCTGCTTTCAATGCTAGGATTTTCCTTTCTAGGAACAAGGAATTAAATTGCATACAACAGCCTTTGCCAACCTGGTGCCCTCCAGATGTTGAACTATATGGCTCTCATCAGTCCCAGCCAACACCAGCCATGTCCAATGACGTCTAGAGGGCACCAGGTTGGCAAAGGCTGGTATAGAAAATATACTGGCTGGGGGTTGGGGGAGCTGTCATTAGTCTACTGTACGCATTAAGACCATAGTCGTGTTCAGTGAATAGCTCCCTCTTCAATCCTCCTTTATTTTTCCAAGAAGTAAAAAATGAGAAGACTACATATTTAGTGACTCATCATTCAAAGGAGGTTTTCTAAAAGCTCCCCCGCTGTGCCTATACAAGCGTTGTCTCTGCCCCGCTGTTCAGCTTCTTCCAGGCTCGCTTTTCTTTTCTTTCTTCCCTCCACCCCTTGCAAATAGATTAGGCCACTGCTTTTTAAGCGTGCAGAGATATTACCCAGCATCCTCTAGGGCTGCGTTATCAGCTGCAAGCAGATGGAGCCTATCAGAGGCGTGTCAGTCATTCTACACCTGTTGGTTTCGTACGGAAACCGAAGAATTAATTGCGCAGCAATTTTTAAAAGAAAAAGTGAGATGCTAAAAAGAAAATCCAAGGGAGGTGATGATGACTCATTGTGCAAAATATTCAAAGAAAATAAATAAAATACGAGGGGAAAGGCAGCTGCAGGGGGCACAACCCCCCCCCGGTCTTATTTAGGTTGTAATGGAGCAGATTTTGTCTTCACAATGAGATTGGAAATGCAAAGAAGAGAGGGTTTAGAAGCGAAATAGTGCCGATTAGTTTTTGTTTTGTTTTATTTACAAATATTCATTATGCAGCATACTTCACATGACAAACGTTAATCCTTGTGTTTGATATGTGAAATATATGTGGGATATATATGTAAACCAAAGTACAATACAATTATTTAAAAAAATGTGAATTTTTATACGGATATAAAGATGTACGGTAAATAAATATACATTGTGCGCAGATAAGTAAATAAATGAGTGGACGGTTAAAATGATGACTATTCGTCTTTCCGAAAAAAATAAATCTCAACCCATTCTCTTATTGATAGTTAAGTTAGCCTTTCAAATGGGAAATGAATCAAATTCTGCACCTATCCCTTGGCACTCTTTTATCTGATAGCTAATGGAAAGATACCCAAATGAGGTGTGTGGAAAAAGCACCAGCCGCTAATGAAGAGTTGTCAGTGCACAGTCACAGCAGAATGGGGAGGTGGCAAGCCTAGAATTAGGTCTTTAGCTAGAAAGCAGGTTGTGTGCTTGGCAGCCTCACACAGCAGGTTCCAAGAAGTGGTGCAACACTGACATCCAGTGGTGCTATAAGTGTATCCTGGACTGTGAAAGAAGAATCACAGCTGATCTCTGCTCCTCCTAACCTCCAACTTCACACAGATTTCCCAATAAATTTGTCTGGTTATTCCAGCAATTGGATCCTTCTTGGACCTTTAAAGCCCTAAACGGCCTCGGTCCAGTATACCTGAAGGGGCATCTCCACCCCCATCGTTCAGCCCGGACCCTGAGGTTCAGTGCCGAGGGCCTTCTGGTGGTTCCCTCGCTGCGAGAAGCCAGGCAGAGGGCCTTCTTGGTTGTGGCACCCGCCCTGTGGAACGCCCTCCCACCAGATGTCAAAGAGGAAAACAACTACCAAACTTTTAGAAGATATCTAGGGAAGCTTTTAATGTTTAATAGATGATTGTATTTTAATATTCTGTTGGAAGCCACCCAGAGTGGCTGGGGAAACCCAGCCAGATGGGCGGGGTATAAATATTTTTTTTAATTATTATTATTATTATTATTATTATTATTATTATTATTATTATTATTATTATTTCTGGGAATTAGAAGAGCCTCAAGCCTACAACCTCATAGCAATCTCATCGGCAGGAAACTCCAGTGCTCCCCTATAGCCTAATGGTTGCGTCTTGGAAACATTTTCTTTGGCATCGGATTTAAAATTTGATGAGAGAGAGAAACAACATCAGCAGCAGCAGCTGTAAGGGAATCGTCTGAATGATTAAGCCACATCTGCCATTCCAGTTTCCAAATTGACATGGTCTGCTTTCCTTACTGAGCATGTCAAACGTGCACCTGAGTACAAATAAACACACTGCTGCGTCAAACAGGTTTTTAGGATAGAAAACGGGTGTTTCAAAAATGACTCCAAATTCCCCTAGTTGTTGCAATTAAACATTTATTTATTTTGAAGACTTGCACTCTACCTTTCAAATAGCCAGTTCTCAGGGAGCAGGGGGAATACTCAAAAGTCACTCTTATATGTACACACAGAGGCCAACAGCCCTTAATCCCTTGGCAGATAGATGGGGCCAGAGCATTGTGTTTCCTTTTTGTTCTGCAGTCTGAAGGACCTGACTTGGCAGAGAGTGCTCCTTCTGGTGGATGAGGGAGCAAGCTCCACAGAATTCCTCCTCCTCTGGCCAGTGAATGGGTCCATGCTGCTCATTCCCTCCTCCTTTTGATGATGTTCATTATGGGAGGCCATAGATGTGACCTTCTAGTTACTCATGGTGCCCTGGCTGGTGGCAGAAGCAGAGCGTGCTTCCATTCTGCTCTGTAGTCCTTGGGCAACCGGCAATGGAAGCCAAGCATACTGTTAAACATTAGGAATAATTTTCTGGTGATGAGAACTGTTCAACAATGAAACAAGACTACTTGGGAAGGTGGTGAACTCTCCTTAAACAGAGGTTGGATGGCCATCTGTCAGGAATTCTTTAGCTGCCAGGGATTGAATCATAGAACTGTAGAGTTGGATGGGACGCCATGGTCATCCAGTCCAACCCCTTGCAATGCAGGAATTGTTTGCCCAACGTGGGGCTCAAACCTCAGATCCTGAGATTAAGAGTCTCATGCTCTACTGATGGAGCTCTCACTGATTTGGATTGACTATCATTATCATTATTTGTTTAAATCACCAGTATCCCAAAAGGTACCACTGACAATTAGTATATACTGGCTGACATCGCAACAGCTCTGATGTCTCTCATAGTCCTTGAGAAATATACCGTAATAATTACCAGGACCCATATTTCAAGGTCAAATGCAATTAGTATGGTGAATTAGACAGCAAGACAAACTAACTTCATAGTTCAAAAAACAACAATATCTTCTTAGAAAAATCCTTGGGTCTATTGGTTTTTTAAATTGTCTTGGAACAGGGTTTATTTCATCATCTGACGGTTGAGGTAATGATTCTGACATTGATTTCTTTTCCCCTGCTGAGGAAAAAAATATGCTGAAGCAGAAGATTGTGGTGATAAGAAAGTACAGTAAATGAAAAATAAATACATAAGTACATAGATGACACAGCCAACGTCATTTATTTTTGGGAGAGGATTCTATTTATTGTGCTGGGTATATTTTGTGAAGGGAAGACATTTTTGCAACATTTTTAGTTTAAAAGGGAATGTTAACATTGATGGGTACGGGTAAGAGACTATATTAATTATTTTTAATCCTTTACAGACACACTTGTGTGGGTTAGCAAACAAAAGAAAAATGGCTGGTGCCTGTTTTTAAAAACTCAGGGCCTACACATAAACAGCCCCAGTAACAGAGTTTAAACCCCATCAAGCAGATTTAGTGATGCATAGGAATAGGCTTCTAAGCCTTCTTTTAATACATTCCAGCTGCTTGAGGCAGTTGGCCTCAATTACCCGTCCTTCAGAGAAACAGACTGCACAGTGAGGTAAGTTTAAAGTACACTTTACTTACAGTCGTGCATTGTCCTTAGCAGTAAAGAGAAAATTCAGGTGATTGTTAGGTTGATTTGTAGCTGGTTGACTGACCAAACCCAAAGAGTTTCCACTAATGGTTCCTCATCACTCTGGGAGACAGGGGGAGGGGAAGACAAATGGTGTGCCACAGGGTTCTGTCCTGGGCCTGTTGCTGTCCAATATATTTATAAACCACTTGGATGAAGGAATTGAGGGAATGTTCATCAGACTTGCAGATGACACCGATCTGGTGGGGTAGCCCATGCCACTGAAGACAGAAGAGCTGGTTGCAGCAGGAGGGGGAGAGTCCCTGGATTATTCAGCAACCTGCCTCATCTCTGTCCCCTGGCCCCCCTCCTCTCCTGCCTCCAAACTGCTTTCTGTCACAGTCTCCTCCTGCTCACTAAACCCTGTTGCCTCTTCAGCTTCTCCTTGTCTTAGTCTGCTCCCTCTTCTCCCTCCGCTGACTCATCTTTGTCTGACCACTAATCCCCTGGCTCTGAGACAGATTGAAGGCAGACTGAGAGGAGATATGATAGCCATCTTCAAATATCTAAAGGGCTGTCACATGGAAGATGGAGCAAGTTTGTTTTCTCCTGCTCTGGAGGGTAGGACCTGAACCAATGGATTCTAGTTACAAGAAAGTAGATTCCGACTAAACATCAGGAAGAACTTTCTGACAGTAAGAGCTGTTTGACAGTGAAATGGACTCCCTTGGAAGGAGATGGACTCCCCTTCCTTGGAGGTTTTTAAGCAGAGGTTGGATGGCCACATTTGTCATGGATGCTTTAGCTGAGATTCCTGCATTGAAGGGGTTGGATTAGATGATCCTCAGAGTCTATTACAACTCTACAAGTATGTGAGCATTTCTTTCTGATTACATGTTCAAAATGGCTGGAAGCCAAGCCTAATGAAACAGAAGAGTTAGTGGAAAGCAGAGGGGTAAAAAGGGAGCAAAACACCCCTAAGGAAATCAGCAGCCAAGAGGTCAGCCCTCTGCCTCTTGAAGTACAAGCTAGAATAACTCATCTCTCCACACTGGTATTTTCTCTTGTAAATCAGCCCTAGCCCAACAGAAGCAAAGCAAAGTTCGTTAGAGAAATGTGGTCTGAACTTGGGGCAACCAGCTCAGACCTCACAGGTTGAGCTTCTTCAGACAGACTGAAGTACAACAATAGGCTTGATTACCTTCCTCCCAAGGTGAAGGGGAGTGACCTAGCTAAGCCTGGCAGGACAGCTTACTCTATGGCATTAACCCCTCTGTGCTGGTTACCGCACAGGAAGTCCATTAGAAATCTTTTGAGTAAGATCAGAACTTATTCTGAATGGGATTTTTATCATGCGAAGTTACAGCAAAGAGTGGCTCTGAACATGTGCAGAGTATTATCTTCTGTCACTGCTGGGTAGACTGAGCAGGCCCACACACATCTGTAATTAGAAGGCTCGGCTTCCATGTGACATTGGTGCTTTCATCCTGGAATTTTGTTTGCTTTAAGAAACTGCCATGGCTGCTGACAGGAACAATGGGCCTTTTTGAGCATTGCCTCAGGTTATTCAAGGACTCCATTTTCAGGCTGATTAGGCAACTGGAGCTGAAGGGAAGGTGGTGTGTTATTAACCTAGAAGCTCATGCACCGCGTACGACTGAACTGGTAGTCAGCCAATGCAAGTGGAAGTCTGAAATGCACTCCTCCCACTGCCCAAAAGACAGGAACAAATTTGTTTAGGATTTGCAAGTGAATGAGGGTTCAATTCTATGCTCATTTACCTGGGTGTAAGCCCCACTGGATTCAATAGGGCTTATTTCTGAGTATAGGACTCCATTGTAAGGTTACAGCCCTCAGCAGTAAACATTTGTAGAATTTTCCTTAAATCAAATCAAAACAAAACAAAAACAGACTGGATATGGCAGGCTGAATTTGTGATTAGTTCTTGCAACGACACCAAAAGGAGTCCCCGTCCCCCCCAGTAGTGAGAAACTGTGATATGTTTACAGGCATTAGCTGACACAGCCCAGGATGTAACATTGCATGTTATGCAAATACATCATCCTAAAAATGTCTGTCTCTGACTGATGGTCACATTATTTCTGTCAAGCATAGTCAAAGGCATTCTGTTTCTTTCTTACCATTCTTTGATGCTTACAGAGGGATTAAGATGCCTCTGTAAATCATATGCCCTCTGAATTCAAATAGGCTTGGCTGTGGAATTCTGGACTGTTTCCTAAAATGTAGCACAAGAAAAATACTAATTAGTAATGATATTGTAGTTTAATTTTGCTAGCAGTGCTTTGGATGGCAGTTGATGATATTTCTCAGGTATAGGTTGGATGGCTTTAAAAGAAGATTGGGTAAATTTGTGGAGGATAGATAGATAGATAGATAGATAGATAGATAGCAACACTTAGGGGCCAAGAGCTCTTCAACCTCCTCCCCAATAAAACATTTGGGGGGGCAAGTTGATGGGCATTGCCATTCAAATTGTCCATGCACTACCTCATATGATCAATTATGCAGGGCAGGGCATACTTGGGCCCCCCTAATCCAAGCTGGCACCCCTGGATAGATAGATGGTTTTTCTGTGACAATACTCACCCATACAGAGTACCAACATCTTTTTTTGCTGGCGGTGACCAGAGGAGGAGCAGCGCAGAGAGAAGAAACGCCATGGTACATCTGCAGCAGCACAACCAAACGCCTTCATCTGCCCCAGCTGCAAGAAAACATGTCTCTCCCATATTGGCCTCTACAGCCACAGCAGCCGCTGCAACCTGCCAACCGTTTGACTTCACCCCCAAGGAGCACTCCTCCATTGTCTCCTGAGACAGACAGATGCCAACGAAACAATATGGCAGCCGTTTTGTGCTGGCACCCACAGCACCTTTATCAATAGATTATTGATGAATACTAGCACCCCATTTTTTTGCCCCCAAAAGCAGTGTGTGTGTGTGTGTGTGTGTGTGTGTGTGTGTATCTGGTGCCTAGGGCCATGTTAGTCAATGGCTTCTTTGAAAAGTCCATTCAATAGGATACTCTTCTCCCCCCATCCCCACCCCATGCAAAGCTCTATAGAAACACAGTGAAGTGGAGCCATTTTGCCAGTCCATTTGCTGTCTTCAGCTGGGGTGCTCATTCTCAATTTGACTGGCTGAAACCACATGGTGAACAGCTTGCACAAAAGGAGCTCCTCTATGGCCACCTACACAATTTCCAGAGATTGGAGTCGCTGGCAGGGGTCAACCATCCTATCAGATACTCATATTTCTGTGTTCCTCCTCTCTCTCTCTCTCTCTCTCTCTCTCTCTCTCCAAAACTCAGCTAGACATAGCTCTCGTTTTATCTTCACATGCACTGAAAAGGCCAAATGTCATATATTTGGGAGGGAAAGGGGGAAACCTTTATCAGCAATGGGGCCTTGTCGCTGGTTTTTAGCAGGGCCTGGTGACATATTTATTGCCCATTTGTGGCAATGTTTATGTTTTCCTCTGAAACGTTTGAACTCAGGTCAAGCAGCCTACAGCACTGATGAGATACTTATCTATGGCTCGGCTGTCGCTCTTTTGGCAGGCCGGTGTCATTTAAAAACTTGTTTTACTTGCAAATTAGGCTTTTTTTTAAGAAAGGGGAGGGAGTAGGCAAGACTTGGCAGCGGTAGCAGTTGCTCTCCCTTAATACAACACTCTCAGGAAGATGAATTAGTCCCAGATCATAGACAACAGGGAATGTGGCTACAATCCAGATGGCAGTCGCTGAGAGGGGCTCCTTAAAATAACTTCAGTAGCAGGCAGTTCCAAGAACCAAAAGAAAGGGAACACCCTGCTTGCCCTAGTTATTCATCATTGAATAAGTGACCCTATAAACATGGCACTCGAGGAACTGGAGAAGCTGGTAGGCTGTTCAACTCTTCAGAAGGGTCATAGCTCAGTTGCAGAACACCTGCCTTGCAGGCAGAAGGTCCCAAGTTATATCTCTAGCATCTCCAGGAAGGCTGAGTGAGACTCTTGACTAAAACTCTAGAGAGTCTCCATCAGTCCCTGTAGACAACACCAGTAGTGGTCCATGTGGCACTTACTTGATGTCCTGTCACTGAAGACATTGCACTTATGAGGAAGGAGAGGAGAGAGGTGAGGTCAGCATGGTGTAAGTGCACTGGCAGGCACACTGTACTGACTCTGCCAATGCAGCTGCCCTACACTGACCTCCCTGCCACCACTTCTCTCCCCCTCCCTGTAAACGTGGCAGTGCTGGTGGCCAAAGGTCAGGTGAGCATTCCTGTCCTACCCCATATTATTAGTAATTAATTGCCTCTCCTTCACCCCAAGGACGCGGGTGGCGCTGTGGGTAAAAGCCTCAGCGCCTAGGGCTTGCCGATCGAAAGGTCGGCGGTTCGAATCCCCGCGGCGGGGTGCGCTCCCGTTGTTCGGTCCCAGCGCCTGCCAACCTAGCAGTTCGAAAGCAACCCCGGGTGCAAGTAGATAAATAGGGACCGCTTACTAGCAGGAAGGTAAACGGCGTTTCCGTGTGCGGCTCTGGCTCGCCAGAGCAGCGATGTCACGCTGGCCACGTGACCCGGAAGTGTCTCCGGACAGCGCTGGCCCCCGGCCTCTTGAGTGAGATGGGCGCACAACCCTAGAGTCTGTCAAGACTGGCCCGTACGGGCAGGGGTACCTTTACCTTTACCTTTCACCCCAAGGTCCCAAGTTGAGTTGCAACATTAAACACAATATTTAAAAACGGATTTTAAAAAACTTAAAATAATAGAAATAAGGTGAATAGTACTTGTCAGAGCTGCCTCAGGTCCCAGCTCACAGAGGACCAACACCAGTCCGTTGTTATATAAAATAGTCTTTATTGAAGTTCAGTTTCTCATTTACAGCCATGGCGCGCAGCTCTACGTCTTAAACCCTAGACCGCCGAAGCTCCGTCTGAGTCTCCTCCCCCCAGACGCCAGTTTAAGACCCTAGCCTTGCTCCACCTCCTCCTCTGCTCCCTCCTCCTCTGGGTCCTCTTGTCCGCCGAGGTCTTGCCCTTCCTAGACTCTTCTGACGCTGAGTCCCCTGAGTCTTCCCCCTCCCTCCGGCGGGCTTTAGGACCTGGTTCCCAATCCGGGTTTTCTGCTGTCCCGCGCGCCTGCACATTTGAACTTGGCGCGCGCGCCCAGCCTGCCACCTTCCTTCTGACCGTTATACTGCTCCTGTCGCTGCTTCCCTCTTCGGGGATGCTAGCTGGGTCTGACTCCTCCTCCCTGCTTGCCGGAGGAGACGCTGACTCTGACCTATGGGGCTCTTCCCCCCACTACGCTCTGGTGGGGAAGCTGGTCCTGATTTCCAGCTACTGCTTTGGGAGTCTCCGCTGGCCCCCTGCTTCTGGTGTCTCCTCCCTGGGACCCCCCTTGCCCTGGCCATCGGCGCCCCCTTCTGGGAATCTTCTGATTCACTGGAGAGGCTCATGGAATCTCTCGGGTCACTGTCATTCTGCCCTCCGCTGCCCTCAGATTCTTCCCCTTCGCTCTCCATTTCCTCTCTCCCCTGTGCCTCTGCTCCTGAGCCCCTGACAGTACTTATTAGTAGTAGTATTAACATTTTAGAGAAATTATCTTCCACCCTTCATCCTAAGGTCCCAGGGCAGGTTTATAACAATTTTAAATGCTACGGCTTGCAGCCCCTTGCTTGCCAACCCTGCCATGCCCCTAGCCCCCATCAGGGAGGCTCAGAGCTAACAAGCCTGCAAATTTCATCCAATTCTGCAAAAAACAACAACCCAAAACCCGCAGACACAACAGTATAGATGTTTCATTTAATAAATAAAAATAAAACTTCCAAGATGCCCAGCACACAGATTTGTTCTTAATTTAGCAGGCTGTATCCAGTCAGGAGGATTTAATCAAAATCTGTACAAAACAACAAACAGTATAGCTATTTTTAATTTCTCCATAATAGAACTTGCTGAAAGTGCAAAACTTCATTTTTTTATGAATTGAGATTCAGATGTTAGCCGTATCAGGCAGCTTCCACAGCTCTTCAGGCCAAAACAGGCTATTTTCCAGATCAGCAAACTGTGGGGTCCAAGCTGAATGTTGTGGTTGGTGCACAACCCTAACCATGAGCTATTCTCCTCCACACTTTTAACTAAAGTTTTACTTTGAGCAGAAGTGACAGGCAACAACAAACCAGAACTACTAATAAACTATTCACTATGCCAAGATGAAAGCATCTCTGTCTCTTTCTGAAAGACTGAGATACACAAAACAGGCATGATATGAAAAATGGATCGTTGCAGTATTAAACTTGAGGTCCATGGTGTCAGAGTGGGATTAATCAAGAAGTTAAGGGTGCAATAGACTAGGACCCCTTCTGAATGGTTATTAGTAAGGGTGAATCTGTATGGAGAGTACACTTAATCCGCTTCTTATCCAGAGTTCACTTCAAATTCTCCATCTCTGTCAGAATGGACTGTGTGTCAATTTCCATATTTGTAGATGAACAAAAGTGCTTTAATGTTACTGTCAGCTCCAGATTATGAGGTGCAGCAGAAGAGATTAAACAGTCCTTAAGGTCATTTGGGCCAAAGTTATTATTCAGATACGAAATACAGTTGCACCTTTAAAAATCAACAAACGTGGGGGCACTTCCAAGTCTTGAAATCATAAAATGAGACCCAAATAGCTTTGTTGCTATTTTATTGCCACTGTTGACATATTGGAAACCACCCTGAGAGGATTTGAAAGCCGTAAAGATGGCCTATAAATATGTCAAATCAATCAGTATAAATACACCTTGGAAAATATGTGCCAGATCTGAAGATCTGGAAGATCACTAACCTTTTGAGAAGTTGGAGACTGCCCACGTGCCAGCTTTCAGCTAAAGGTTTTTCAAACACTCAGCAGGGAAAATTAGATTCAGGCAGCCTTGTGTAATCAGCAATTCTCCACAGCCGGCAAAAAGGGCAAATGGACTTAAACATCCAAACCAAACAAAAGGAAAAAATTGCAGCCATCTAGGCAGAGAAACCCCAATAAATACCGTCAACAGCCGCGGAGAGCGGAGCTACTGTGTATTATGTGTCGGCAGCAAAACAGAAGACAGCTGTGAAAAATAAATATTGCTTCCAATCTGTTTAAGAGTAAAATATCTCCTAAGCTCATCGGGCTCTGTAATAGAAGAGTATTATTTTTCATAAATGAAAATGGTGTGAGAGAGGAAAGGCCAGATATCTAGGTACAGCGGTTTGAATCGGAATAGTCTCGCTTGATATTCCAGTCACGATGCCTCAGAAGCTTATTCGGGAGTTCATTCAGAGGAGGTAATGACTAGGAAAATGACAAAGAAAACTGTTACTGGCCATTAGTGAGCAATCACTCTGTCATATTACCAAGATAATTTAGATAAATGGTTGAGCTGTCTCCCAGGGAAACAGGGTGCCAGTTCTGATAGGAACAGCCTTTTAAGGATTTTGACATATATTATTTATTTCGTACAGACACACGTCATTCTACAGATGTTGACTCGTTCCTTCATATCCGTTTGAGGGAAATTGTAAAAATCTGTTTCAGTAATCTGAGAACAACAACAACACACACACAAAAAGGCTGATGTTCATTTTACAAGGCAACGTCAACATAGACTTGGCTTTGAAGCACAAGGTTGCTTCTGCTAACAAATGGGGGCATTTCATTCTCCTCCTCCTTGTGACAGACTCTCTCCCTGTCACAAG